AACATTTGTGAATATATGGTTAATCTTTAACTTTTAATTAATGCATTGTAAATGAAGTTGGAACAATAGCTTTAGAGATCCGATCTATCTTTCCAACTAGATATAATACGCTCCAAACGGATAAACACTCAGCAAGATATGAGTGTTACAAATACTTAGCCTCATCTCTATGATTTAGCGTTTTCAGCGAAAATAGAGCGCTTTTAGCGTAAATACAGTGTATTTTTGAAATTAGGCTATGCTCCCTTGATATTTTGAAACCAGATCCTGAAGACAAGTTTTAGAACTCGGTAAGATCTTTCCATCGAGATATTAAACGCTTTCAACGGCACAAAATAGAGAAAGATATGATCGCATCAAATTCTACACGAGTTCGGAGTGAAATCAGAAACATTTGTGAATATATGGTTAATCTGTAACTTTTAATTAATGCATTGTAAATGAAGTTGGAACAATAGCTTTAGAGCTCCGATCTATCTTTCCAACGAGATATAATACGCTCCAAACGGATAAACACACAGCAAGATATGAGTGTCACAAATACTTAGCCGTATCTCTATGATTTAGCGTTTTCAGCGAAAATAGATCACTTTTAGCGTAAATACAGTGTATTTTAGTAATTAGGAAATCATCCCTTGATATTTTAAAACCAGCGCCTGAAGAAAAGTTTTAGAACTAGGTAAGATCTTTCCAACGACATATTAGACGTTTTCAACGGCACAAAATAGAGCAAGATATGATCACATCAAATTCTATACGAGTTCGGAGTGAAATCAGAAACATTTGTGAATATATGGTTAATATGTAACTTTTAATTAATGCATTGTAAATGAAGTTTGAAAAATAGCTTTAGAGCTCAGATCTATCTTTTCAACGAGATATAATACGCTCCAAACGGATAAACACACAGCAAGATATGAGTGTCACAAATACTTAGCCTTATCTCTATGATTTAGCGTTTTCAGAGAAAATAGAGCACTTTTAGCGTAAATACAGTGTATTTTAGTAGTTAGGCAATCATCCCTTGATATTTTGAAACCAGCGCCTGCAAACAAGTTTTAGAAAATGGTAAGATCTTTCCAACGAGATATTAAACGCTTTCAACGGCACAAAATAGAGCAAGATATGATCGCATCAAATCTACACGAGTTCGGAGTGAAATTAGAAACATTTGTGAATATATGGTTAATCTGTAACTTTTAATTAATGCATTGTAAATGAAGTTGGAACAATAGCTTTAGAGCTCCGATATATCTTTCCAACGAGATATAATACGCTCCAAACGGATAAACACACAGCAAGATATGAGTGTCACAAATACTTAGCCTTATCTCTATGATTTAGCGTTTTAAGCGAAAATAGAGCACTTTTAGCGTAAATACACTGTATTGTAGTAATTAGGGAATCATCCCTTGATATTTTGAATCCAGCGCCAGAAGACAAGTTTTAGAACTAGGTAAGATCGTTCCAACGAGATGTTAAACGCTTTCAACGGCAAACAATAGAGCAAGATATGTTCGCATCATATTTTACACGAGTTCGGAGTGAAATCAGAAACATTTGTGAATATATGGTTAATATGTAACTTTTAATTAATGCATTGTAAATGAAGTTGGAACAATAAATTTAGAGCTCCGATCTATCCTTCCAACGAGATATAATACGCTCCAAACGGATAAACACACAGCAAGATATGAGTGTCACAAATACTTAGCCTTATCTCTATGATTTAGCGTTTTCAGCGAAAATAGAGCACTTTTAGCGTAAATATAGTGTGTTTTAGTACTTGGGCAATCATCCCTTGATATTTTGAAACCAGCGCCTGAAGACAAGTTTTAGAACTCGTTATGATCTTTCCCACAAGATATTAAGCGCTTTCAACGGCACAAAATTGAGCAAGATATGATCGCATCAAATTCTACACGAGTTCGGAGCGAAATCAGAAACATTTGTGAGTATATCGTTAATCTGTAACTTTTAATTAATGTATTGTAAATACGCTCTAAACAGATAAACACACATCAAGATATGAGTATCACAAATACTTGGCCTTATCTCTATGATTTAGCGTTTTCAAAGAAAATAGAGCACTTTTAGCGTAAATACAGTGTATTTTAGTAATTAGGCAATCATCCCTTGATATTTTGAAACCAGCGCCTTAAGACAAGTTTTAGAACATGGTAAGATCTTTCCAACGAGATATTAGACCCTTTCAACGGCACAAAATAGAGCAAGATATGATCGCATCAAATCTACACGAGTTGGGAGTGAAATCAGAAACATTTGTGAATATATGGTTAATCTGTAACTTTTATATAATGCATTGTAAATGAAGTTGGAACAATAGATTTAGAGCTCCGATCTATCATTCCAACGAGATATAATACGCTCCAAACGGAAAAACACGCAGCAAGATATGAGTGTCACAAATACTTAGCCTTATCTCTATGATTTAGCGTTTTCAGCGAAAATAGAGCACTTTTAGCGTAAATACAGTGTATTTTAGTAATTAGGCAATCATCCCTTGATATTTTGAAACCAGCGCCTGAAGACAAGTTTGAGAACTCAGCATGGTTTTTTAAACGAGATTTTAAACGCTTTAAACGGCACAATATAGAGCAAGATATGATCGCATCCATTTCTACACGAGTTCGGAGTAAAATCAGAAATATTTGTAAATATATGGTTAATCTGTAACTTTTAATTAATGCATTGTAAATGAAGTTGGAACAATAGCTTTAGATCTCCGATCTATCTTTCCAACGAGATATAATACGCTCCAAACGGATAAACACACAGCAAGATATGAGTGACACAAATACTTAGCCTTATCTCTATGATTTAGCGTTTCCAGCAAAAATAGAGCACTTTTAGCGTAAATACAGTCTATTTTAGTAATTAGGCAATCATCCCTTGATATTCTGAAACCAGATCCTGAAGAGAAGTTTTAGAACTCGGTGTGAGCTTTCCAACGAGATATTAAATGCTTTCAACGGCACAAAATAGAGCATGATATGATCGCATCACATTCTACACGAGTTCGGAGTGAAATCAGAAACATTTGTGAATATATTGTTAATCTGTAACTTTTAATTAATGCATTGTAAATAAAGTTGGAACAATAGCTTTAGGTCTCCGATCTATCTTTCCAACGAGATATAATACGCTCCAAACGGATAAACACACAGAAAGATATGAGTGTCACAAATACTTAGCCTTATCTCTATGATTTAGCGTTTTCAGCAAAAATAGAGCACATTTAGCGTAAATATAGTGTATGTTAGTAATTAGGCAATCATCCCTTGATATTTTGAAACCAGCGCCTGAAGACAAGTTTTAGAACTCGGTAAGATCTTTCCAACGAGATACTAAACGCTTTCAACAGCACAAAATAGAGCAATATATGATCGCATTTGATTTTACACGAGTTCGGAGAGAAATCAGAATCCGTTTCGAGCGTATTATATCTCGTTGGAAAGATAGATCGGAGCTCTAAAGCTATTGTTCCAACTTCATTTACAATGCATTAATTAAAAGTTACAGATTAACCATATATTCACAAATGTTTCTGATTTTACTCCGAACTCGTGTAGAATTTGATGCGATCATATCTTGCTCTATTTTGTGCCGCTGAAAGCGTTTAATATCTCGTTGGAAAGATCTTACCGATTTCTAAAACTTGTCTTCAGGCGCTGGTTTCAAAATATCAAGGGATGATTGCCTAATTACTAAAGTACACTGTTTTTACGCTAAAAGTGCTCTATTTTCGCTGAAAACGCTAAATCATAGAGATATGGCTAAGTATTTGTGACACTCATATCTTGTGTATGTTTATCCATTTGGAGCGTATTATATCTCGTTGGAAAGATAGATTGGAGATCTAAAGCTATAGTTCCAACTTTATTTACAATGCATTAATTTAAATTTACAGATTAACCATATATTCACAAATGTTTCTGATTTTACTCCGAACTCGTGTAGAATTTGATGCGATCATATCTTGCTCTATTTTGTGCCGTTGAAAGCGTTTAATATCTCGTTGGAAAGATCTTACCGAGTTCTAAAACTTGTCTTCAGGCTCTGGTCTCAGAATATCAAGGGATGATTGCCTAATTACTAAAATACACTGTATTTACGCTAAAAGTGCTCTATTTTCTCTGAAAATGCTAAATCATAGAGAAAAGGCTAAGTATTTGTGACACTCATATCTTGCTGTGTGTTTATCCGTTTGGAGCGTATTATATCTTGTTGGAAAGATAGATCGGAGCTCTAAAGCTATTGTTCCAACTTCATTTAGAATTCATTAATTAAAAGTTACAGATTAACCATATATTCACAAATGTTTCTGATTTTACTCCGAACTTGTGTAGAATTTGATGCGATCATATCTTGCTCTATTTTGTGCCGTTGAAAGCGTTTAATATCTCGATGGAAAGATCTTACCGAGTTCTAAAACTTGTCTTCAGGCTCTGGTTTCAAAATATCAAGGGATGAATGCCTAATTACTAACATACACTGTATTTACGCTAAAAGTGCCCTATTTTCGCTGAAAACGCTAAATCTTAGAGATAAGGCTAAGTATTTGTGACACTAATATCCTGCTGTGTGTTTATCCATTTGGGGCGTATTATATCTCGTTGGAAAGATAGATCGGAGCTCTAAAGCTATTGTTCCAACTTCATTTACAATGCATTAATTAAAAGTTATAGATTAACCATATATAAACAAAAGTTTCTGATTTCACTCCGAACTCGTGTAGAATTTGATGCGATCATATCTTGCTTTAGTTTGTGCCATTGAAAGCGTTTAATATCTCGTTGGAAAGATCTTACCAAGTTCTATTTTTTTTTTTTTTTGGATAAAATGTAAGTATATATTAAAAAATCATCCAAAAGTAACAAAATACATGTGTCAAAATTAACTATCTAAGCTAGTAAACTAACCTAAGATAGTAACTACCGTTCACACGCCCCCCCCCCCCCCCCCCCACCTGAAGGCAGGGGAAAGGGAGAGAGGATTTTTAGCAAAAGAAGGCATAACTAGCTTGGGAGAGACCCCCGGCTTAGTAATAAAGCAACAAAGTATTCAAATTAACTTCAACAATAAAAACCAAGGCCAATTGGCCTATTACTACTTCCAGCACAAAAATCCTAGCGGATGAATAGGTCCTCCACAGCAAGTCTTCTAAGCCGGACCACAGCTCCACAACAGCCTTTTGTAGCCTAATTTCCAGCACAATCGTCCGACCTGGATGGCCCAAACAGCCCAGCAAAAGTAGGGTTACGGCCCATACTAAATAATCTCCATCTCTTCCAGATGCGCCGCACCAAGAGGGCGGCTAATTCAAAATTCAAACAAAAGGCTACAGTGCAACGTCAGGACAGATGTCAGCGGTCCAATCACATGCAGACCCAAGTCAGGTCGCCGTTGACTACGCCGGCCAACATTCCGGCTAGACTCCGACTGATGTATCAGCAGCCCAGATTCCAAAAGTTTACGCTCGTTCATAGTATGTGCCCCTTCCCCCACCCCCACCAAGCTCCGGCAGCGTACCCGGTGGAAAACGGCGGGGGAGAAAAGAACGTACCAGCCGGAAAATAGAAGCAGCCAAATCGAAAATCCCCCCACCCCCACTTCCGTTGGACCCCGGCAACCTCCAACAGAGTTGATAGAGGGCGTCGAAGGCGATAAGACTGTAGCCGGAAGCAAAACACCCGAAGAGCGGTTCCAACCTCTCCGCTTTCACTAACGAAACTCAATCCAATAAAAAGAACCAAACCAAAAAAAATCAAACCAGGCACTTCTGTATTCACGCCAGAAACTTCCGGTTATCTTCTCCGGTAATAAAACCCAAAACCAAACAAATGCACAATGGCAACAGACCACAATCCGACGCCGTCGCTGCAACGTATAACTCATTCAGACCCCTCGCCAGCAGAGAAGCTCCCATTATCGTTCCCAAGCTCCCCTCTTCCCCATTCCTTCCCACAATCGTCACTCCCTACCCTCTACGGAGGCCAAGCGCAGTGGTTATCAGTCCGGTTTATCGAAAAAAGCTGAGGTCCTTCTGGGAGTAAAACCACTTGCTCAAAGTTAGATTGAGGAACTGTTTTGGCAATGGCGATGAAGAGCAGTCTGTTTGCCATAACCTACTCCGGTTAAACTCACATTGAACAGAAAAAAGGACCCCAGACCCCAAAGTCAAAAAGTCACTAGGCAAGAAGCTAGAAAAATAAACAAAGCTCGTCTTGAAACAGAGGCGTCCACAGCCAGACAGGTTGACTAACAAGAAGACGTACCGGAGTAAGAGCAACTTATTTTCAGAAGACGGCCGAAGGTGGCTGCGAACTCCAAACCCCGGCATTGGCCCAGCACAAGATCCGTAACGAAGCAGTGGGGGAAACGATGGCCGCATGAAAGAACTGCTCCGGGACCCCTCCACCCGAAGCTGCCACGAAAAAACGCCATCGTCCATGGTAAGTGAGCATCTGCAGGCTCTCTGAAGCAGCGAGAGAAGCGAGAAGGATCCAAAACATTCTGGGAAGCTAAGGACCCATTAACGAGCGTCCCCATCCACTGTTCTCTGAATACTTAGCATTCCCCGACCGAACCGGCGCTACGTCTGAGGACGACGCCGCTGCAACCACCGGAAAGCTTTCGCCTTAGTCGTGAATGAAGAGGAAAAGATGGGTGTGGACACATCGGTCATCTTCTGAAGCATAAACCCATGGTTGTGAAAACCACCAGAACCCATCTGGCCGCATCTGCCAAGGAATCTCGACTTAGCTTGCTTGTATCCCTGAAACAGCGGCCATGGACCTTCAACCAAGAAACCAGGACACAACCTTCAGGAAAACTCCTAACCAGCTGTGAACCAGAAGGTTCAAGCTCCCATCCAGTCGAAGTGAGGTAGCCCAAGATAGATCAAAAGATTACAGCCTGAGCCAAACACCAAGCCAACCGGAGCCAGGAGGGCTCCGGCGGCGAACCACCGCTGTGAGGGAAGAGTCTAGCTGCGAGTGGCTAGAGAGAGAAACTCAAGATCTTACCAGATCTTACCAAGTTCTAAAACTTGTCTTCAGGCGCTGGTTTCAAAAAAGCATGGGATGATTGCCTAATTACTAAAATACACTGTATTTACGCTAAAAGTGCTCAATTTTCGCTGAAAACGCTAAATCATAGAGATAAGGCTAAGCATTTGTGACACTCATATCTTGCTGTGTGCTTATCCGTTTGGAGCGTATTATATGTCGTTCGAAAGATAAATCGGAGATCTAAATCTATTGTTCCAATTTCATTTAGAATGCATTAATTAAAATTTCAGATTAACCATATATTCACAAATATTTCTGATTTCACTCCGAACTCGTGTAGAATTTGAGGCGATCACATCTTGCTCTATTTTGTGCCGTTGAAAGCGTTTAATATTTCGTTGGAAAGATCTTACCGAGTTCTAAAACTTGTCTTCAGGCGCAGGTTTCAAACTATCAAGGGATGATTGCCTAATTACTGAAATACACTGTATTTACGCTAAAAGTGCTCAATTTTCGCTGAAAATGCTAAATCATTGAGATAGGCTATGTATTTGTGACACTCATATCTTGCTGTGTGTTTATCCATTTGGAGCGTATTATATCTCGTTGTAAAGATAGATCGGAGATCTAAATCTATTGTTCCAACTTCATTTACAATGCATTAATTAAAAGTTACAGATTAACCATATATTCACAAATGTTTCTGATTTCACTCCGAACTCGTGTAGAATGTGATGCGATCATATCATGCTCTATTTTGTGCCGTTGAAAGCATTTAATATCTCGTTGGAAAGCTCTTACCGAATTCTAAAACATGGCTTCAGGATCTGGTTTCAGAATATCAAGGAATGATTGCCTAATTACTAAAATACACTGTATTTACGCTAAAAGTGCTCTATTTTCGCTGAAAACGCTAAATCATAGAGATAAGGCTATATATTTGTGACACTCATATCTTGCTGTGTGTTTATCCGTTTGGAGCGTATTATCTCTCGTTGGAAACATATATCGGAGTTCTAAAGCTATTGTTCCAACTTCATTTACAATGCATTAATTAAAAGTTACAGATTAACCATATATTCACAAATGTTTCTGATTTCACTCCGAACTCATGTAAAATTAAATGTGATCATATATTGCTCCATTTTGTGCTGTTGAGAGCGTTCAATATCTCGTTGGAAAGATCTTACCGAGTTCTAAAACTTGTCTTCAGGCGCTGGTTTCAAAATATCAAGGGATGATTGCCTAATTACTAAAATATACTGTATTTACTCTAAAAGTGCTCTATTTTCGCTAAAAACGCTAAATCATAGAGATAAGGCTAAGTATTTGTGACACTCATATCTTGCTGTCTGTTTATCCGTTTGGATCGTATTATATCTCGTTGGAAAGATTGATCGGAGCTTTAATGCTATTGTTCCAAATTCATTTACAATGCATTAATTAAAACTTAATGATTAACCATATATTCACAAATGTTTCTGATTTCACTCCGAACTCGTGTAGAATATTATGCAATCATATCTTGCTCAGTGTTGTGCCGTTGAAAACGTTTAATATCTCGTTGGAAAGATCTTACCGAGTTCTAAAACTTGTCTTCAGGCGCTGGTTTCAAACAATCAAGGGATTGTTGCCTAATTACTAAACTACACTGTATTTACGCTAAATGTGCTCTATTTTCGCTGAAAACGCTAAATCATAGAGAAAAGGCTAAGTATTTGTGACACTCATATCTTGCTGTGTGTTTATCCATTTGGAGCGTATTATATCTCGTTGGAAAGATAGATTGGAGATCTAAAGCTATTGTTCCAACTTCATTTACAATGCATTAATTAAAAGTTACAGATTAACCATATATTCACAAATGTTTCTGATTTCACTCCGAACTCGTGTAGAATATGATGCGATCATATCATGCTCTATTTTGTGCCGTTGAAAGCGTTTAATATCTCGTTGGAAAGATCTTACCGAGTTCTAAAACTTGTCTTCTGGCTCCGGTTTCATAATATCAAGGTATGATTGCCTAATTACTAAAATACACTGTATTTACGCTAAAAGTTCTCTATTTTCGCTGAAAACGCTAATCATAGATATAAGGCTAAGTATTTGTGACACTCATATCTTGCTGTGTGTTTATTCGTTTGGAGCGTATTATATCTCGTTGGAAAGATAGATCGGAGATCTAAAGCTATTGTTCCAACTGCATTTACAATGCATTAATTAAATGTTACAGATTAACCACATATTCACAAATGTTTCTGATCTCACTCCGAACTCGTGTAGAATGTGATGCGATCATATCATGCTCTATTTTGTGCCGTTGAAAGCGTTTAATATCTCGTTGGAAAGATCATACCGAGTTCTAAAAGTTATCTTCAGGCTCTGGTTTCAGAATATAAAGGGAGGATTGCCTATTTACTAAAATACACTGTATTTACGCTAAAAGTACTCTATTTTCGCTGAAAACGCTAAATCATAGAGATAACGCTAAGTATTTGTGACACTCATATCTTTCTGTGTGTTTATCCGTTTGGAGCGTATTATATCTCGTCGGAAAGATAGATCGGAGCTCTAAAACTATTTTTCCAACTTCATTTACAATACATTAGTTAAAAGTTACATATTAACCATATATTCACAAATGTTTGTGATTTCACTCCGAACTCGTGTAGAATTTGATGCGATCATATCTTGCTTTATTTTGTGCCATTGAAAGCGTTTAATATCTCGTTGGAAAGATCATACCAAGTTCTAAAACTTGTGTTCAGGCGTTTGTTTCAAAATAGAAAGGGATGATTGCCTAATTACTAAATTACACTGTATTTACGCTAAAAGTGCTCTATTTTCGCCTAAAACGCTAAATCATAGAGATAAGGCTAAGTATTTGTGACACTCATATCTTGCTGTGTGTTTATCCGTTTGGAGCGTATTATTTCTCGTTGGAAAGATAGATCGGAGATCTAAAGCTATTGTTTCAACTTCATTTACAATTCATTAATTAAAAGTTACAGATTAACGATATATTCACAAATGTTTCTGATTTCACTGCGAACTCGTGTAGAATTTGATGCGATCATATCTTGCTCTATTTTGTGCTGTTGAAAGCGTTTAATATCTCCTTCAAAAGATATTACCGAGTTCTAAAACATGTCTTCAGGCGCTGGTTTCAAAATATCAAGGGATGATTGCCTAATTACTAAAATACACTGTATTTACGCTAAAAGTGCTCTATTTTCGCTGAAAACGCTAAATCATAGAGATAAGGCTAAGTATTGGTGACACTCATATCTTGATGTGTGTTTATTCGTTTGGAGCGTATTATATCTCGTTGTAAACATAGATCGGAGCTCTAAAGCTATTGTTCCAACTTAATTTACAATGCATTAATTAAAAGTTACAGATTAACCATATATTGACAAATGTTTCTTATTTCACTCCGAACTGGTGTAGAATTTGAGGCAATCATATCTTGCCCTATTTTGTGCCGTTGAAAGCGTTTAATATCTCGTTAGAAAGATGTTATCGAGTTCTAAAACATGTCTTCAGGCGCTGGTTTCAAAATATCAAGGGATGATTGCCTAATTACAAAAATACACAGTATTTACGCTAAAAGTGCTCTATTTTCGCTGAAAACGCTAAATCATAGAGATAAGGCTAAGTATTTGTGACACTCATATCTTGCTGTGTGTTTATCCGTTTGGATCGTATTATATCTCGTTGGAAAGATAGATCGGAGCTCTAAATCTATTTTTCCAACTTCTTTTACAATGCATTAATTAAAACTTACAGATTAACTATATATTCACAAATGTTTCTGATTTCACTCCGAACTCGTGTAGAAATTGATGCGATCATATCTTGCTCTATTTTGTGCCGTTGAAAGCGTTTTATATCTCGTTGGAAACATCTTACCGAGTTCTAAAACTTGTCTTCAGGCGCTGGTTTCAAAATATCAAGGGATGATTACCAAATTACTAAAATACACTGTATTTACGCTAAAAGTGCTCTATTTTCTCCGAAAACGCTAAATCATAGAGATAAGGCTAAGTATTTGTGACACTCATATCCTGCTGTCTGTTTATCCGTTTGGAGCGTATTATATCTCGTGTGAAAGATAGATCGGAGCTCTAAAGGTATTGTTCCAACTTCATTTACAATGCATTAATTAAAAGTTACAGATTAACAACATATTCACAAATGTTTCTGATTTCACTCCGAACTCGTGTAGAATTTGATGCGATCATATCTTGCTCTATTTTGGGCCGTTGAAAGCGTTTAACATCTCGTTGGAAACATCTTACCGAGTTCTAAAACTTGTCTTCAGTCTCTGGTTTCAAAATATCAAGGGATGATTGCCAAATTCCTAAAATACACTGTATTTACGCTAAAAGTCCTCTATTTCCGCTGAAAACGCTAAATCATAGAGATAAGGCTAATTATTTGTGACACTCATATCTTGCTGTGTGTTAATCCGTTTGGAGCGTATTATATCTCGTTGGAAAGATAGATGGGAGCTCTAAATCTATTGTTCCAACTTCATTTACAATGCATTAGTTAAAAGTTACAAATTAACCATATATTCACAAATGTTTCTGATTTCACTCCGAACTCGTGTAGAATTTGATGCGAACATATCTTGCTCTATTGTTTGCCGTTAAAAGCGTTTAACATCTCGTTGGAACGATCTTACCGAAATATAAAACCTGTCTTCTGGCGCTGGTTTCAAAATATCAAGGGATGATTCCCTAATTACTAAAATACACTGTATTTACGCTAAAAGTGCTCTATTTTCGCTTAAAACGCTAAATCATGGAGATAAGGCCAAGTATTTGTGACACTCATATCTTGCTGTGTGTTTATCCGTTTGGAGCGTATTATATCTCGTTGGAAAGATAGATCGGAGATCTAAAGCTATTGTTCCAACTTCATTTACAATGCATTAATTAAAAGTTACAGATTAACCATATATTCACAAATGTTTCTGATTTCACTCCGAACTCGTGTAGAATGTGATG